CTTCCCTAGCCCCAGCCCCCGGCCCACTCGCTCCCTCCCTCCCTCCCTGCCATGGGAACGGATCCCTATTTGTTAACCTTTATACAAATACAGGCAGTTTTGTTTGACCCTAAAGCTTACAGTAATTATCAAATAACTGTGTCTTCTGAAGAGGTTTTTTCAGGGCCCAGTTTTGACATAGTAGTAGTCATGGAAATGCTTGGCCTCTAAATTCACAAAATATGCAAATATAAAATGAGTAAAGCAGAATAAATATAAATACCTTCAGAAACTGGTTGGTTTGTGGTAGAACAAGTCTCCAAGGCCTTGTAATACCAACTTTCCACCTAACAAAATTGACATCATATTAATAATGGTGATTTAGCTTTAAATATATTTAGTCTTACAGCAATAACTGCATTTGAGCTTTAGCCTGTTACATTTTTGGATTTTTCATTTTTTTATGTTGCCAATCAGAGTGTATTGTATATTTAAAACAAAACTTTGTCTGTAAAGATTAAAAGACCATTTAACACTGGAAAATTTATATTTTGGGTTTTGTGGTCACCAAAGGCTGGGGGAGGTGGGGAGGGCATTTGTTTCATTTGGAAAGCTCTTAATCATCCCAGACAGCCATAGTGAAGGAGCAGTAATCCAAGATTAGCTTTCATTTATGTGAGGTTGACACATTGCTGAATTAAATACATAGGTACACTATTGTAATCCAAGGATCAGGGGTGGATCCAGAGGGGGTTTATCCTCATTTAATCTCCCTGGGTATTGCCTGCCAGCCCAGGAGCAGGGAGGGGAATCTGTTGCCACTGTCAATGTCTCCAACCAAATCTGGCTCCCCATGCAGCCTCTCCTTGGCCCTGCTGGAGGGGGCAGAAATGGCAGCAGGTGGGTCCAGGGACAGAAGTAGGGAGGGCTCTGGCACACCCCATCCTGCAGGTCAGCCAGAGATAGTGGCACAGCAGATAGGGGAACGGACTTGGACATGTGATTTAGTACAGAGGGAAGGGAAGGGTGTGAATTCTTATCTGATTAGAAATGTAAAAGTCCCTGGCTGCTGTTCCTGAGGTGTGGTCTGCAATGGGGGTGGGGGATCAAATGTAATGTAACTGATATGATATCAGACTCAGTGTAGGTTTTGACCAGAAATTAAAAATAAAAACTGAGTTAATGATTAACCTCACCTGTCGTAGATTTGGAAATCCATTTGCACTTATGATTTTCTTGTAGTACTGAACAGATGCCTTTGGGTGTCGAGGTTTGTTTTTATTCTGAAAATCAACATGGTAGAATCCAAATCTCTCAGAGAAACCTTTATTCCATTCAAATTTATCCAGTAGAGACCAGGCAGTATACCCATTAACATTAACTCCGTCATTGATCGCTGAAAATAGATTTAAAATGTTTTGTTAAATTTGAAGTGCTGTTTAACAAACATGGTACTAATCAATCATACCCTGTTTTATACCAAAAAAAGGATGGAAAAAAGTGGCAGGATAAAATTTTTAAAGGTCTTAAGTCTATCTGAAAGTTAATGGGACTTAGGCAATTTGGATAACGTTATCCTTAGTCTAGATCAGGGGTGTTAAAACTCACTTCCTGCCCTGGGCTGAATGCAGAGGGGGCTGCTTGTGGGCTGGATCCAGTCCAGAGCTCCAGTGCAGAGCATGGGGTGGCTGCAGGAGCAGTGGTGGCTCTGACTGTTGGTCATGTGTCACATGCCCCATGCTGGAGTTGAAACTGCTGCCCAACGTGTGTTTTATGTCAGGACTGTGGCTCTGGCATGGAACACAGTAAGGGTGCTGATGGTAGTGGCATGACAGCTGATAAAGCTGTTACAATATTAAACACAATGTACTTTAGAGGAGTAAAAGTTTAGAATATAAAAATATTAGAAAGCAAGTTTAATTGTGCTTTAAGCTATTATTTAAAGTTCACCTTTCAGCATCTCATTAATATACCCTTTCAGATATTCCATTCTCCATTCGTCACATAGTTGAATACAGTATATCTTTTCAGAAACCCCATTCTCTGTCACGTAAATCAGAGGGTTCCCATAATGTATCTGCAAACACAGATACACATTGACATTGAAAAGTTGTACTTCATACAACCAGAATTAATTTTATTTTTCTAAAACACTACATTTCTAGCAAACTGCTTCTAATTTTACATATTCAGCACAGTTACTTTTAGAGAACAGTATAGTCACACATTTAAAATTAACACTTCTTATTACAGCATTGCATACAGATACCAATTAGCATTATGGCCCTTTCCAAAGATAGGTACATGGCAAGGAACAAGGCTCCTACATTCTGGTAAAAATGCTGGAGGTCTTGGATTTTTGCAGTTGACCATGAAAAAATGTTTTATACTCTTGTCTAAAACAAAATTAATTCCTTTTAAAGAAGGCTTAGTCTAAAATTACCTTAGCAAAGTTGAGTAACCTTCTAAAACCCCAGGGCACAGAGTATAACCATTTGGATCCTGGGTTTGGCCACTTTGGGTCTACCAGTTCCTGCAAATCACGATCGGTGTAGTAACTGGGCCCTTGCAGGGAGGGATAATTCTTCCGAGTAATGTAGCGAGTAGTAAAGTGACCTATTCCCAGGAAATCTGATGTGCCTTTAATATAGCTTTTCTCTTGTGCTGAGAAGATTGGTAATCTTGTCAAGCCCAAGCCTTGCTGGGCACTCTTTCTACCTATCAAATAATTTAAAAAAAGGAGAGCTGTTATATGATGGTAACAGTGTCTTTCATGCCACTGAATTGTTCTGCTTTTCTTTACCACACCACCAACACAACTAAACTTTCCTAGCTTGAAAGACTGATCTTGGATGACTGCTTTCTTTTCTAACACAAGGATCTGCCTCTTTTCCAGTTACATGAAGCAAATTAAGACTGAGAAGATAGTCGTTTAAGCCGGGATTTTCAAAGAAGCCTCAGAAATTCTGAGTTGGGTACCTGAAATTCACTGTCTCCTTTGAAAAACTCAGTCAATAAAGCACAGGACAAGGAGTCAGGTACTTTGCTGCTTTCCTTGGGCACATCACTTCCCTACTTCCTTCTATTTTCCTATTTGATTAATAGGAATAATCATACTTTGGCGAGCAAGGACTATTGGATCCTTACAATTTTTAAAATTAAAAATACCCCAAAACCATATAATCAACTTTGACTAATTTTTTCCATCATAATAAATTGCAACAGTATTCAAGCTATTAATTAGTCAGTATGCCTTACCTATATACTCTTTCATAACTTCTGGATAGTCTCCTCTGTAAATAGGATTTGCAAACCATCCCAAATAAAACTGAACATATCTCTCAGCAGCATCTATGTCATCTTGGTTACTTAGATCCATAGGTTCACCCCAGGCACTTGTTAAAGAAATTCCAACCATCCCTTCAAGTAAAAAGTGACAGTTCTGCAGTCGGGCATAATCTTTTAAATCCTTGTTACAAATAGAGACATAATTTCACACGTGCTTATTACCTTGCTGCTCCCTGCGCCATGTCTTATCATAAGAATGCCAGACCTTTGCATGAGTCTGTAAGTAAAAGAACACACATGCATTATATCACACACACACACACACAAGCATACTGTACAGAAATCAGTACCAAAAACCAATGAAGAACTGAGGGGAAACCTGTCACACTAATGCTTGTCTGAGAATTTATTACATTAGGATTTTCAAAACTTTTTTTTCTCTTCCTTATGGAAGCTTTTCTGTAGAAAGTCTACAGCACCAGTACAAAGATTCTTCGCAACCTCTTGACAGCTTTGTGAGGGTGACACACCCCAGTTCAAGGAGTCTGTGCGTGTGTCTGTATCTCAGTTAAATTCTGGAAAACTCTCTCATTTTAGTGAAATCCTGGTACAACTGAAGTCAGTTGTAAAATTCCCATTCACTTTGATAGGGTAGGGTTTCACCTATTTAATTTTAGAAGTTGCCTTAATATGGCCTTTTTGGATCAATTTTGCCATATTTAAAATAATAATTTAAAAAAAATCTCAAATGTTGCAGAAGAGTGCTATATAATGCAGCCACTACAATGTCTTTATTTATTGTTTTCAATGCCAGTAGTTTATAGTTTAGATTTAATTACTGGATGCTTTTAAATATGCTATTCAGAAATTCATAGTTTTTTAGCAGATGTTTTCCTGGGGAGGGAAGGGGAGAGATAGTTTCATAGTTGCTAGGGTTGGAAGGGACCTGAGCAGATCATCAAGTCTGACCCCCTGCCATGGCAGGAAAGAGTACTGGGGTCAAACGACCCCAGCAAGGTGATTGTCTAGCCTTGTCTTAAAGACCCCCAAGGTAGGAGCCAGCACCACTTCTCTTGGAAGTTGGTTCCAGATCCTAGCCGCCCTGACCGGGAAGTAGCACCTCCTGATGTCTAGTCTGAATCTCCCCTCTGCCAGCTTGTGACCGTTATTTCTAGTCACTCCTGGCAGTGCTCGGGGGAACAGGGACTCCCCCAGTGCCTGCTGGTCCCCTCTGACTAGTTTGTAACAGGCCACTAGATCCCCCTCAGCCTTCTCTTGTGAAGGCTGAACAGGTTCAGGTCCCGTCGCCTCTCGTCATAGGGCCTGCCCTGCTGTCCCCTGATCATGCGAGTGGCATCCTCTGGACCCTCTCCATGCTGTCCACATCCCTCTTGAAGTGTGGCGCCTTCAGATGACTGCATGCACATGTCCTGCTTAATTCAGACGTAAAATATTAAATAATAAATGAGGAAACATTTTCTAGTTTTACTTTAATTATGTGATGAGCTGCTTTATATGCCCCAGTTCCACTGAGCTTCAGTCCTGGCGCGTGTTTTCCTGTCTCATAGCCCTCTTCAGCGACAGCCTATAGCAAAAATAATTTTAACTATAGGGTAATTCCAAAAATTTGGGAAACAAAAATGTACATCACTCAAAACAGCGGGAAAGAAGATATCTGTAACTTACCCAAGGGTTACTAAAAGTAATCCAGTATTTCACACGATCACCAAAAGTCTCAAAGCACAGATTTGCATAATCATTAAAGTAATTTATTAGGCTTGCATTCTGCCAGCCCCCATACTTTTCCTGGAGTGCCTGAATAAATAATAATTATAAGGCTTAACATGTATATTCTTTAAAATACAATATACCATTATCGTTGATAAAGTTTATTTGGTATGTAACTTTATACACTGGACAATGACATGTGCTGCAAAGATTTAATTAATCTAATAAGTAGTGTGACTGAGGCAGAGTTCACTATCTCAGGATGAAGATGAAAATGCAACAGATAACAAATCAGTTCTGCCTACATTTGAAAGTATATTGGAATGTTTAAAATTGGTTTGTTTTAGTATTCCAACCATTTCTTATTTATACAAACACATTTCCTACTGGAAATATTGGATTAAACATGAAAAATGTAAATATTCACAGACCTGTGGAAGATCCCAGTGGTAGAGGCTCACAAAAGGGATAATGTTGTTCTCCAGAAGACTATTAATTGTATCATTATAGAATTGTATTCCCATTTCATTTACTTCTTCTGCTGTGAAAACACATATTGAAGAGTTTGTCTGAGTTGTTTTTTGTTGTGGTAGAGCTTGTTTGGAAAATATTTTCAAAAATTATTTTGTAGAACTTAATATATAAACCAGAGGGCAACACTTCGTGCAATTCTGGTCCAGGGCTGGCTAGAGCAGGTGCCAAATCTGGCATGCAGGGGACATGTGGAGCTCCCTGTCCCTCCTGCAGTGTGAACACTGAATTTGGCATGTGAGGGGTCCCAGACTGGTGCCGCACGGAAGCCAGCACTGGCAGCCGGATAATGTGGTTCAACGTGCTAGACCTTATCTTTGACATCCCTCCACTAGCTCAATGGGCTGGTAGGCTCAAAGTGGACCTTTGCTGTGATATAACAGATGGCACTATGAGAACCCATGCAAGCAGAAAAATACTTAACAGTAATGTGTAACACATACAATGTCATGTCTATGACACTCTTAACTGGAGGAAAATAGTTTGTTATCCTTACTTTTAGGTTTCTAGTTAAATGGCTATGCTTACTTTTGATGCCAGTAGGCAGAATGCGAGGCCATGATATGGAGAGCAGATAGTAATGGACTTTCAAATCCTTCAGTAACTGAATGTCATCCTGCAAAAAAGCAAATCCACTTGAAATAACTTTTGGTAATCCCAGAAGAGTAACTCTTCAAACTGCAAATGAAATCCGTGGTAAGAAAAGACTTCAGAATGGAGAAAACTTAAACAAAGAGAAGACTGGCAGAGCACATTATTTTTGGGGCAATCACTTTCTGTATTTCCTTTGACACACCAGTATTAAATGCAACAGATTTTTGCATTCTTGCAACAACAGTGAATTTAGCCCAAAGCTATTTGTATATGTTCATTATGCATCTTAAATCATACCAGAATATAAACTGAGCAAAGCCAGTGTATTTCAAAGTGTTGGAAGTGTTTCTTTGCTCACTGAAGCATCAGGCATTGTGCATTTTCTCAACAGAAGCTATATACTTTGCTTAGTATATATTTTGGTATGTTTTAAAATACATTAAGAATGTATCATATAAATGAATTTGGGTCATATTCACTCTTGATGTAAGACTGTTTTTTCTTTGAAATGGTGATGCTCATTTGTACTCCTATAAAAACATCCTCCACCAGGTTCCGTAAAGAAGCTAAACTTGTGTGTTTTCTCTTATTCTGTTGCCTTGGAAACTTTGAATGTGATGATATTCAATTCAAGATTCACTGAGGAATCAAGCAGAGGAAAAGGCAAGCGTGAGAGAACAAGCTCTCTCACAAAGTGTAGTTGACATTAGTCTTCAAAATGTTTCAACTGACTCTCCTTTTTAAAAGAATAGCAAGGGCTGTGAATAAGAGGAAATAAACTTAATTAACTTCCTTCTGCCTGGGCTAGTGAGTATGTTCATATGATTCAGCTGCAGTTTGGGATGTGGTGGCAGGTTTCATATGTTTGAAACTGTGATCACTGAGAACTACCCACATGTTCAATCCATGGTATATGTTTGAGTACATCTACTTTTGCATACTGATCCTACAAAAGTAGGACAAACAGCTACTTGCACATACAATGAGGCTTGATTTGCATATGTATGTATGGGGGTTTGAGCACTCCCATTTTTGTGGATGTTGTCAGGAGTGAGTCTGCAAAATTGGACTGAAAATTTGGCACCAAAGTAGTAGCTCTTTGCCAGACTACAGAATAATCTAGTCAGATTTATGCCAACACTCTTCAATATAGGGATTTTATACAAGATCAGCTTTAAATACACCACCCAATCATCCCAGTTATGTGCACAAAATGTTATTACTTTGGAATCTATACATTTTTAGTAGTGCCATATTCTGAAGCCTTCCCATTCAGATAGAAATTTGTAATTTCCTCCCCACAGTGACAATTAATTTAATCATTTGGATATCTGTTATTGTATTTATGTTATTTAAAAACTACTGGAAAACTGTACATAATGGTCTTATTCAAAAATTCTCATTTTACTATTTTGCTCTTTTAGATTTAATCCAGTCTCTGTATGAAGTTTTAGAAAAATGCCAATAGTGGTTATCATACCTGTTATAAATAGCTGGGATTACCAACTAGCATGAGACTATACTGAGACAAATATTTTTAAAATAAGATAGAAAGCAATTTAACTGTGTCTGGTGTACAATCTAAAACATCCTGCATATGAACAGTTAATTTACTACTGTTACTGCTTTCCAAAGTTGTGATCACCAAATTTTTAACTATAACTCTATTTTTTAACACTTTGATCCTTTATAAATTCCCTTTTTCCTGCCAGTAAGGTTCTTTACTGTTATTTTTAACTTCCCATTAGCTGTCAATAAAATGACCTACTCTTACTTCAGAATAAGTTAGTTTTAATTTTAATATTTTTTTCAGTTTTTTTGTTAGCAGCTGACTTCATCTCCCCTTATCTCACCTGGATCCAAAATACTCCCTTATCATCTGATAACTGGCAGCAAGTTTAACTGCATATATCTCCAGCACATCCCTCACTGGTAAGAAAAATTCATGGTAAAATAAACTGTCTATCAGTCAAGCAACCTGCTTGCTGAGCCCTATCTCTTGAGTGGAATTGCTATTTAGAGACACTTTTATCAGAGCAAATCTAAAGGAAAATCAAAAGTTTACAAAAAAGCACGAAGGCATAACGTGCCTTTTTTCTGCTAGTCTTGACTAATCTTCCTATACAAAAGCAAAGCTCCAGCCAACGGCAAAGAAGTCATTTACCAGCTACACGTTTACCATTTATTTAGATCCACAGTAAAATCCAGCATCAACATCCTCAACGATTCTAGTGCACACATGCTCAAGATGTTTCATATAAAAAAGTAAACTGAATCTTGTGGCTGTGTGAAACAATGCAATATAAAGTGTCTAAGAAAAATGGGTGGAGAGGTTTGTGTTTTATACAAAATGCCATGTGTGGAGCGTGTAGCTGGGCAGGTGAAAATTAATTTTGTAAAGCTGCCTCAAAAGTTGTGCCAGCTGCAACACTGGATGAATGTCTAACTGCCACAAAAAGTCTTTCTTTAAAGATCAGGGCTGAATACTGGGTAAGCATATATTACTATGAATGGCATTACAAAATATAGCGCAATGTAATGTAATGTGCATTAGTCCATTCATAGCATCTGACAAAGTGGGCTGTAGATTATGAAAGCTCATGGTTCTCTGAACAAGTTGCTTTATAAGGTGCCAAACTGCATAAATATTCAGGAATGGTAAATATGAAAGAGGGATTGTTGCAGACTCAGCAAAAATACCTCTTTGGGAATTATTATTTCATGTAATTATAAACAGGGGATTAAATATTACATTGGGTAATAGGAAACGTGAGTCACACTGTTGTTGGTGATGTTTATATGCTATACCTTCTCTCAGAAAACGAGCGAGAGAACCAAAAGATGGTTCTGTGGTGAGGCTGGATCTGGATTCCTCTCCCTGCTTTGCCACAGATTTCCTGTGTAGCACTGGGCAGTTCATTTACTGTTAGAGTCCCTAAAGGGCTTTGATGCCTAGTAGGGTTTAGCTTTTAGGCACTTGCCCCTGGAAGAGGATCCAGAGGCCTGATGCCCCTGTATAGTACAGTTCTGTGCTTTGGGGTGGGAGTCCAAGCAGGGAGCTGGCAGCAGCTAGCACTCTCAGTGTAGTGCTCCTTGGAGAGAGCTGAGAAGACACAGTGGGCATTTGTATACGTGATGAAAAACTGCCCATTTTTGTGGTTTGTGTCACATATTACATGTATGGGGGGTGCGATTTAAATGAGTTTCTTACGTTGCAAACTAAACCACATCCCCATGTAGTTTAATTTGCGACATAGCTACTTGTAATGTTGCAGCCTTTAATCTGACAGCTCACCTCCTGGCCGCGGGCGAACCTGACTGAAGGCAGAAGCAGCGAGAGGCCCAATCTCTTTTTTTTCCACAGAGCCTGCTCACCCCGCCTGCAGCTGGGGGGCGAGCTGCTGGCAGGGTCCCTGAGCTGTGGGGGTCCTGGTCCTTCCCTCTGTGGTGGCGGCACCCCCCGGGGCCGCCCAGGTGGGCTGCTACTGGGCCAGGGACTGCCCCAGCTTGGAGGCAGCACTCACCAGATCCATCTGTTCCCTGAGCCCGCCTGGGAAGCAGTGCCCTGTGCACTGTCCCCACCGTCCTCTCGCCACTGGGGACTGCCTGGGAAAGGGGAGCCTTTCGCCTGGGGCAGCATGGAAAGGTGGCAGGAGGGTGGCTGGGTGTGCTGTAAGCCAGAGAGGGCAATGGGGAAGCCCAGGTGAGTTCAGGGAAACACTGGATCAGGTGCTTCCAAGCTGGGGCAGCCGCTGGCTTGCTAGCAGCCCTCCTGGGTGGCCCTGGGGGGTGCTGCCATGCAGAGGGAAGGACCAGAGTCCTGTGCAGCTCATGGGTGCTTGGTCCAACAGCAGCTTACCCACCCCCCAGCTAGGGGGGAGGAGGCCAGGCTTTGGGGGTGGAGGGGGGAAGGATCAGGCCCCTCGCTGTAACAGTGACGGAAGCCCCTAGATGGAAACTGTGGGTTCTTAATCCTCACAATTAAAAACCCACCATTTCAATTTAGGGGACTAACCCCTCGTCACGTGTACAAGCACCCAGCGAGGACATGTTTGAAATCCTGCCGCTTCCGTCACCATCCCGGATAGACCTTGTTGACAGCAACAGGAAGGTGCCTCAGCTCACTCATTGTTTGCTGAAGTGTGAGTTCAAAATAAAGTCACTTTGAATCCAATGAGTTTATAGATTGAAGCTAAACATTTTGACTTTTTAAACAAGTTGAGGTTTCCTTTTGGCATTAACAATTCATGAAAATGGAGATAAAACTGTGAACTATTTAAGTATTGCTAGATCTGCATTTTTTTGCAGAACAAAATTTGGCCTAAAATTTCACCTGGCTGTAGTTGCAAACCCCAGTTCATAGCTTCACAGGCCAGGTTATATTCTTAACTACGAATGTCAAGAGCATCAGAATGATACACCTTTCATTTTGCTGCTAATTGGAACTGCATAATAAACTGTTACTAATGGTTGCTGGATACCCATAATATAGAAACAGTATTCTTTCTTTTTTAATCATACCTTCACTCTGTAGTAACTTTCACATGCTGAATCTGCTGTGTCATTTTTGTACACTTTTCCCTTTTTATGAGTAAAAACATCCCAGATACTTGGTCCTTTTCCATCCTCCTCCCAAGCCCCTTCAGTTTGGTAGGCAGAACTGCCGGCACCCCATAAAAAACCTATAGGTAGCAATAAACAAACACACCAATGACAAAGTGGAGACAACTGGTTGTTCAGTGCTTTTCTCCAGTAGGTCACTAATTAATATCCACAAAGTACTTTAAGATACAAATAATTAAAACGTTCTTCTTTTAAAATGTTCCAGATTGAATAAAAAGCTTGTATTTCTGACAGATGAGGCAGTTTTTTCAAAAGACCATATTAAACAGGAAATAAAATGTGGTTTAGAGCACGCAAAAAGCTACCCTCCTTTTGTGACATTCAGATACATCTAGCTGAGCTGGGTGAGTACGAGAGGGATATTTTAAGGTGTAGCCCCATGTTTCTAAATTTGTTGTAAATGATTTATCAAAAGTGATGAGTTCCAGGTTCTGAACCACCCTACCCCTGCCCCTTGCCTGATCCCGTACAGCAGGGGCAACCCTGGGGGTGAAACACTCGAATCAGTATGTACCATTTTGCTCCAGCATGAATATCTACACCCAAGTGCACTCCTGTGGAAAAGAGCAATGGAATACATGAATGTATATTCTGCAAGAGGCTATGGTGACCCTGGAGTTTCACATCTGCCTTCTCCCTCTCCCCCGAAAGGCTTGACACTGTGCTTATGTTTTCCTTCCAAAGGACAATCTTTTACCAAGTTTCTTGTACAAAAACATCAGTGAGACAAAAATACTGTAAACCACAAACAGCTAGAGATGAAAAGTACCAGCTGGGAAAGTGCCATAATAGAAGGAGCCAGGGTTATTCTTTGTCCATTGGAAATCCTCAGCTGCATTCAGACACAGCACCAACGCAGGCACATACCACACTCTCAAAACATTTGTCTTCATCACTAGTTTCTGCACTGCAAAGCGTTCTCTGCTTCAAACGCCCACCTGATAAAACAGGAGAACAATTGCTGAGCTTTACTTCTCAGTCAGAAACATTGGAACGATGAGCTACGTTGTCTGGGTTCGCCCAGTGATACAGCATATGGCATTGCTTACCAGGAACGACTCTCCTTAAATGAAGACATTGTAAGGGAAAGATTTAATTTGCCTTTTATGAATGTCCATTATGTTTCATTTAGTACTATGCTATAGTTTTTACTGTCCTAAAAAAAAAAAAGCTTTTCTGTTGTAGTGGTTTTGGTTTGGATTTGAAACTCCCCTTGCGGTGTCTAATACAAATCTTGTAAAGCGAAAGTGATTCAGCTGTTAGCATGGTCCCTGATGAATGGGAAACAAATTTAATCAGAGCTGAAAAGGCAATTAGATTTATAATTGTTGCAGTTTTAATAATTACAGCTCTTGCGCTGTTGTATGTCCCTTTCAACACAGGGCAACATTGATTTAAACTCCTAGCATTTATATTCTGAAGTTTTTTCCAGCTGTTCAGGGTTCTTGTCTCCTGGCACATGGCGATGCATTGGGGTGCTCAGCTGTGCTGATTTTACCGAAGGCTGCAAACCAGCTTGTTAGAACCTCCTTTTCCCACAAATGTTTAACATTCACTACAAGGTCACCTTTTACATGCCTAACTCTCTCCAGCTGGTGAATGATTCTGGAACAGAAAGTTTGAGGAAAGTCTTTTTTTTGTTTTGTTTAGGGTTTTTCTCTTGAATTTGAGGAAGGTAATAATAAAGTCTAGGTATGAACAATATAATTACACCTTGAGACAGGGCTACCTTTGAAAGGTGCAACATAGCATGGACATAGCCATCAGGGAGATGGTGCATTTGTTTTCTTGATATCATGAATATTTAAAATAGGCAAGGGTTGATGCTCTCTTGGCTTATGCTCTTAAATAGGTAACCATATGGCCACTGCAGGACCAGGACAGGTATGTTTTGCAAAGCAGCTGAGATGGAGGTGGTTATTATGGGCTTCTCCACACCTTGATTCAGTGCTGCCATAGATGACATGTTGTCACATGTTCTCTGCACCAGCTTGTATAAAGCCAGCCTAGAGACCTCTTTTGTAGCATGCAGAAAGCCCAGGTGCCTCTATGCAACCTCAGTCTGTGGATACCTTTTGCACAGCTCCAATTCAAGGAGTAGTAAGTGGTGAAGAATTGGAAGACATAAGGTAGGTCCTCTGTTTGAGGGGGACTAGTCCTTTAAAAGCTGTTTTGTCTTTGCTAATTATAGGACTGGAAAAGGTTGTGTTCAGGGATTGTTCAGCTAAGCAAGCTGTTTTAGACTAGCTTTGCTCAGTGTTCTCTGATATCTCTTGTATGTAAACCCACAGCTTGATTCAAAGTGCAGTAGGTGAGTCTTTCCATGGACTCCAGTGGACTTGGAAGTAAGCCCCTTGCAATGTGTGGTGTAGGACCATGAGCTCTATTCAAGCACTTGTGCTGTTAACGGATACTTTCTTAGTGACGATGAAAGAATGACTAACTTAAGACCAGGAAGACACAGAAAACATTTCTCTGGTCACATAATAAATGGAGGACTGCAGAGATCTCTGACACTTTTGTACTAGCAGAGGAACTGCACATCTGGCTTGGGGGGAAAAAAAATACGTGTCAGTGGGATCTACACAAAGGGCGCTTGTACATGTGCTGGCGGTTTAGTCCTCAGGATTTTATTCTGTGCCCCCTAAATTGAAATGGTGGGTTTTTAATTGAAACCCACCAGCTCAATTTTCTGTCATATTATGGCAAGGGGCCTGATCTTTTTTTTGTTTTGTTTTTTGTCAGAGCTGGAGCCTGCCTGTGGCTGGGGGGCCAGCTGTTGGTGAGCTGAGCAGCCTCTGAGCTGTGGTGGGGCCCTGGTCTGTCCTTCCATGGTGGCAGCAACCCCAGGGCCACCCAGGAGGACTGCTAGTGGGCTGGGTGCTGCTACAGGTCAGAGGCAGCACCGGGCCCAATTCAACTCTTCCCCAAGCCCACCTGGGGAGCAATGCCCAATGGGCTTCCAGTGCGCAGACTTGGAGAAGAGCTGGATTGGATTGGGTGCTACCTCTGAGCTGGGGCAGCACCCAGCCTGCTAGCAGCCTGCTCGGGCAACCACAGGGGGTACTGCCGCTGCAGAGGGAAGGACCAGGGCCCCTGCAGCTCAGGGGCTGTTTGGCCCACTGGCAGCTCACCCCCTCCCTCCCCGATGTGAGAGAGCTTGGGAGGCTCCACTGAAAAGGAAAAACAAAAAAGGATCAGGCCCCTCACCAATTCTGCCTTCAGCAGGAGCCATGAGGGGCCCAATCAATCCTCTTTGTCTGTGGAGCCTGCCTACTTCTCTTGTGGCTGGGGGGGCAAGGTGACAGCAATGTTGCAAGTTAAACTACATCAGGATGCAGTTTAGCTTACAATGATGCAAACTCATTAACCCCCCCCCCTCCCCCAAACTGGCGCACAAGTATTGTACAATGCCATTAAGCCACACAAATGACACTTTTGTCACATGTCCATTGTGATGACTATCACATGTACAAGCACCCTAAGAGAGTATAAAACATAGGTCTTCGGTCCTG